GTATTCAGTTGTGTTCGACACGCATGATATATATATATATATATTATACGATATGCATGCGTGAAAAAATCACAAGCTAAGCTTCAACCTTTCAGCCTTCCCCTTCTTAGCACGTATCAACGCCAGCTGCTCTTCAGGGCAAGGTATTTTCGAATTTGCTTTCGACAAAGCTATTTGTTGAATCCTCTCAATTGCACAATTGAATGTTGAAAGAGGCAAGTCCTTGGTCGAGTTCGTGGCAATGACGGTCGCCTAGGCTGAGCAAGCAGTGCAAATGTATTCCACGCGTGCATGCAGGAAGTGCTGCAGCTGTAGACAAATCCAGATGCGAGCAAGGCGCTGTTTTCTCCTTCTTGGCGGAAGGGCTGGGTTTGCTCGGTGGATTGGGCACAGCTGGTGCAATGGTAGTCTCAGGGTTGGAGCTGGCAGCACGCTCTGGGGTTCCTCAGCTGAGCAAGACCCACACCACACTGGAGTTGGCTAGCAGTGGATCGATCTATACTAAATATGCAAGTTTCGAATCAGGGGTAGTTTGAAGGCAATGACGGACCTTCAGTAAAATAGGATCGGCTCGATCGATGAGTTGCTCAAATAAGAAGCTATGAAACACCCCCAAAAAAAAGGTTGACAGGCCACAAAGGGGTGCACTTGAAGATGCTTATACACACACACACCCTCTGTGGCCTCTCAAGTTTGCCAACAAATCCACACTGAGTATCCGAAGCTCTTGCAACGACGTCGATGCTTGGGCATTGGCTTGGGTGTTGGGTGAGTTTTTGGATCACCAGCTTCTTTGTCCTTCTGTTGATTCTCTGAAGTGCTCTCTTCCGATTCCTCCAAGCAAGCTAGGGCAAATTGGCGAGCATCAGAACTTGGGACATCATCTGGAAGTGATCTAAGAGCTTTCAGTGGGTTTCTGGCAATCCAGGTCTCGATCCTCTTTTGATGAAAATGCTTTTGCAATAACATCCTTTTTTCTTTGGTTGGCAAGTTTGGTGAAGGATACTTGTAACCAGGAGTCATCCACCTTCTGATGTTGCTTCGGGGGAACTCAGCTCTGATGCGGAAGACCCGGGCCTTCTCCTTCAGTTCTTCACCGGTTGGTGCTGCTTCTTCAGGTTTCATGTTCTGCTTTCTCTCATCCTCCCTGGACGACGAGTCGCCTGCGCTGTCACTTGTGCTGCTTGTGCTGCTGTCACTTTCACTGCTTGACTTCAAGCTTGGCATTGGACTGATGCTGACATCATCTTCTTCGCTTTTCTCCTCGTCTTCCTCGATCCTTTGTGTTGAGGTAATCGCTTTGTCTGCTCTTGTGACACGCTTCTTTTTGGGTGTTGCTTTGGCTTTCGCCTTGGCCTTCCCATGCATTCTTTGTTGCACTTCTTTGTCAGACAATCCCACAGTGGAAAAGCCCAACGCAGCAGCACTGGGCCGCCCTCCCTGTATTACACTGTTGCTTGATCCATCCTTACCCCCTCTCTTCTCTGAACATTGTGCTCCCTTCATTGCATTGTCCTTGTCAGCTACCCTAGCGTGCTCATTTTTTTTGAGCTTGTCCTTCTTGCTTTCCTCGTCTTCCTCATCTTCATCCATTGGGTCTCGATTCTCCTCTTCGCACTTTGGTCCTTCCTTCTCACTCCCATCATCATCATCATCGAGATCCATTGCATCTCCCTTCCTTTCTTCCTCCCCCTCCTCCTTATCATCCTCAGTTCCTTCCCCCTGTCGCTCATCCACAGAACCTTCAGTCTCTCCTTTCGTTTCCTCAGCGTTGTCTTTATCATCCTCTTCCTTTGCTTCCTCTGAAGCTCCATCCGAAGCGACTCTTTTCCTCTCAGCCTCTTGGTCTGCCTTCTTACCTTCATTGTCTTCATCCTCTTCATCCTCTTCATCTGAAGAAGTTTCATCCGATGTGACCCCTTTTTCGAGATCCTCAGCTTCTTGGTTTGCATTCTTGCCTTCATCTTCTTCTTCCTCCTCTTCTTCTGATGCAGCTTTACCGAAGGTGACCCCTTTCTCCTCAGCCTTTTGGTCTTCGCTCTTGTCCTCATCTCTTTCCTCGTCTTCTGAAGAAGCTTCCTCCGAGGCTCCTGTTTGCTCCTCCTCAGCCTCTTGTACTTTTTTATCATCATCATCTTCTTGCTCTGAAGAAATGCTTTGATCCTCCTCAACCTCTTGGTCTTCTTTGTCATCATCATCTTCTTCTTCCTCTGAAGAAGCTCGTTTCTCATCAGCCTCTTGATCTTCCTTCTCGTCCTCGCTACCTTCCTCCTCTTCTTCGAAAGCTGCTTCATCTAACACTGCCCCATTTTCCTCAGACTCTTTGTCAGTGTTTTCTTCCTCTTCCTCAGATGCTTCCAAGGACTTTTCCTTTTTCTCCTCGGTCTTTTGGTGATCTGTCTCATCTTCCTCCTGATCCGAGGCTTTATCCCAGGCAGCTAGCTTTTTGTCTTGGCCTTCCTGCTCGTCCTCATCCTCTTCCTCTTCCTCGGAAGCCTCATCAGAGACCCCCCCTTTCTCCAAAGGTAGATCCTCATCCGACTCATCCTCATTTTCTTCGTCTTCGTCCTCTTCTTCTGGAGCTTTCTCATCAGCTGCGTTTTCGCTTCTCTCATCATCTTCATCTTCTTCGTCCTCTGAGGCCATGTGTTTCTCATCCTCCTCTCCTTCCTTTGTTTCCCTCAATGCTGCTCGCTTCTCTTCATCAGCCTCTTGCCTGTCCCCATCTCCTTCTTCCTCTTCCTCTTCATTGCTCATGGCCTCTGAAGCTTCCTCGATCTCCTTTTGTCTTGTCTTCTCGCTCTCATCTGCTGAAGCTTCGTGTGAACTTTCATCACTTGAAGGCTCACGTGCATCCTGTTCTTCATCTTTGCTCTTTTCATCTTGTTTTTGTTGCCTCTTCAAGCTTTCTAAAGCGAACTTTCGAGCATCAGAACTTGGGACATCTTCATTGAGGGACTTGAGCAGGTTCAACCTACCCTGTCCTTCCTCCTCTTCCTCGCTGCTTTCTTTTTCTGCACTCTCAGCCTCATCCTCACTCTCGTCCCCATCAGAATCACCTTTCTGATCACCTTCATCAGAAGGTTGGCCCTTAGCATCGCCTTCCCCCTTTTGAGCATCCTCATTTGCTTCAGATTCCTCCTCACTGTCGCTAGACTCCTCGCCCCTGCTTTTCTCATCCTCACTCTCATCATCCTCATCGTCACTTCCTTCAGCCTTAGCTTCATCTCCCTTCGCATTCTCATCTGTCCTGTCCAAAGCATCTGAAGCAGAACCACTTTCGCTTTCGTCCTCACAAAACTCCGCTTTCCTCTTTCTGTTCTTTGCTTTTTCTTCTTCACTTTCCTGCCCAGGAGTACAGATGGACAAAGAGCCACTGGTGCTTCAAAGTGACCCTTTGGTATCCCAATTTGAAGTCACAAGGGTCACTGGAAACCTTGAATAGGTCAATTGAAGAAGTTGCAAAAACAATCAATCGAACCGGGTCGAAGCTAGACAGCAGAGGCCTCAACAGTGGTACTGGGGAGATCATCATCCTGAGGTTTGGATCCACAGTGTCTCCTTAACGCATATCAAAAACGATGTTCAGCCATATGCGGTGGGTTGCGATATACATTTTTGTGGTTAAAGCTAAGCTGGGGGGCATCGAAGCCTCATCTAAGGCCTCAATCATTGGTTGGGTCTCCATATCATCAGGGCTAGTCCTGAGCAAAGATGTTTTCAGGGTAAATACGATTGGGCCAATTGGACGTTGCACATGCAAACTTTAGTTGATCCGCCACAAGTTCTCATCGAGCATCACACTGGGCAAAGAACTCGAGGTGGATGGCCGTGTCAGGAGTTTTTTTGTGACGAATCATCACACCATGGCATCTCTGAGCCTGGGAATTGGAATGAACACTCGATCACTGAATTCAAAGTGGGGCCCCCCTCAAAGAACACATGCTTCAAAAAAGGACCCACCTGTTGAACGATCCATTCTTCGCGTTCATCCTTTCTACCAAAGGGGCCTCAGCTAGTATCCAAACTATAGCAGGGTTTTCCTCGAAATGAACAATCATAAAGCCCACAATTACGATCAGCAACAATCGAAACAGTAGGCCAGTCCGAGCGGCAAATGTCCAAGATGTTGGACAATTGTCCTATCACCTTACGAACCTCACCCTCTCGTGGTGTACGGTTAACCTTGGCTTCATCAAAGGCTTTGCGAAGCCATTGGTTACCCAAGCGTCGCAAGTCCCCCCCCAGGGATCAGGAATTGATCCTCCTTGCAAGATCGAGGAATATGTTTCTCCATCGACTTCCGGAGTCGCCTGAGTTGAGTGGGGCTGTTTGACAGGGCATTGGCCTTGGAACCCTTTAGGCCACACATGATTGAATACCTCGAACAAAAAACGACACAATGTGCTCATACGACATGGTCCAAGGCACCGCCCATCCACAGATAAGTCTTTTAGCTTGGTTCCAGGATCACTCGAGAGCTCGTTATCTCCCATGGCGGACAGAACCGCGAGCACAAATCACGCCTAGATTTGTTGTCAGCTGGTGCCTTGTGATAGATCGATGGATCCGTCCTTATAGTTAAGGGTTCAACATCTGTGATCCATGGCGGTTCCTGTGATCCATGGTGGTTCCATCTAGCACGATTGCGAGCCTGCAGGTGCTGTGGAGATGGCGATGGAGCTCTGCGATCTTCCCCCCCTTCAGCCCTACCCATCTTGGTCTCGAATCCCCATCGCATCGTATCATAGGATACTAAAACAGCCACTTAAACATCAAAAAATGTTCGATATCCTTCGATATCAAAGGGTCACTTGTCTCGATGTTGAGACCTTAAGTGACTGTTTGTTTCTTTTTGGCTAAGTGCTTGCAAATAGAGGGCACTTTGAAGCAGCTGGAGTTCTTGTTTAGAGGAATTGTGTTGACCGGTTCTTGTCGACAAGATCCCTGTTCAAACCCAGCCTCGCCTTGGAATGGTGGGATCCGCACAGATGTCTCAGGTGGGCTTTCAACGTGATGGCCAGCAAGAGGGAGGCAGCGAGACGTATGGGTCCAAACATACGTTCTTTAGAGGTATAGTCCGGACGACACCTCCATGGAATCCCGTACGCTTCAAAGACCATATGATGTTTTGGTTGACCTCGTGGGTTAAATCCTTATAGTCAAATAATGGTTGTCTGGGGTCCAATTTAAACACATTGAAGTTGGCTAGGAGTCACAGGGAATCTTTGACTTCAAAAACCAAATAGACTAAATGTCCCGGACACTTCCAGGATCTTCCAGGTAGAATGAAAGATCAAACATGCAAGGTGATTTTCCCTGGTGCCCCTGCTGAACGCATTATATTTACATGTGTTTTATTGGTTTTTGGTAGCTTCTTGTTACTAGGAGAGAAGAGCTACTAGTAGTAATGCCCTTTGCTACCTTTGTAGCTTCTTGTCACCAGTAGTCATGCCAGGAGCCACATTCAGCTTGCCTCCTTGTTACTAGTATACGGCCCCGGCCTTGTGACGTTCGGCTTGCTTCTGACGTCCACCGATGTGTCCACCACCGTGCGAGGCGACCTGGCCGATCACCGTGGTGAGCAATGAATTGGCGCAGCTCGCGCCCGACGTCCGCGTCCTGCTGCAGCGGATGCTCTTGCCGCTCGGAGCGGGAAGAGGAAGAGAGGGCGAGGGAAGAGCAGTTGGCCAAGATCCAGGGGCACCACATGGCCCATCAAAAAGTAGGGCTTTTCCCCAGCAAACAGATGATAAACTTGTATAGTGAGAAGCTTTATAAATGATGTGTCATGTTTTTGAGGGCCACTGGTTACGTTGTCCAATCAAACCACCCCAACTACTAGGTTTAAAAACTATGCCAGCCCCACGTTCGTGTCAGGCACTGCCCACCTGCGCCGCCGAAACCGCCCGCCGAAACCGCCAGCCGTTTCGCTCCGAACTGGACCGACACCGGCACCGAGCCGATCGGCGGAGGGTCGAACCGGAGAGTGGTTCGTCAGTCAGTCCTGGTCAGTCTGTCCACGGACCATGCGATCCCATTCCGTCCAACAAGGAGCTCGTTGGACAACGGAGGACATGTCGGAGTGTTTGGGAACTCCAACCGATATCCGTCTTCTTGGGGCCTCTTTGTTCCGGGTCTCTTTTCGCTTTGGCGGCCGGCCATCGCCCTCCCCCCCCCACCTTCGCCGGGTCCGGACGGCATCGCCAGGTCGTTAGAGGATCTGAACCAGATGCTCCAGTTCAGCTGCCGAGCTTCAGTGTTCAGTGCAGCGTTCGCCGTTCCGATTCAGTGCCAGCTTGCCGTTTTTCTTTTCAATGGGGGTTTCATGCTATAGAGAAACATCCCATCTGGCAAGCCAGGCTTTCAACTGGGGTCTCATGTTGTAATAGAGAAACATGCATCCCATTTGGAACGCGACCGAGTGCTTGCCAGGCCTCAGAGTGCTGTAAGATCGAGTGTGTGGTTTTGCTGCTTTGAGAACTCGATGTTTCCAGATGAACAGGTTTCCCGGTACGACATGCTTTGAATGGCAAGCACTGTAGGCTGTGGACATGACAGAACCGACTCCAGTGTTCGATGAATCCGCTGGTGCCTGACTGGGATCCAAACTCGTGACTGGTCACTTGATCCCGTGTTGGACAGGCCACCATCAGGGACTTCAACAGGATCACATACCGAAGAAGCTGGCTCCAAACCCAACACTTTACAGTGGTTTCAGAGTAGATGGCACAAAGCCAGAGATGTCTTTTATATATGTGGAACATTGAGGAACCCCCTGTAAAACACCCTTTAATTCATGGGTCCTGACCTCCGCTTTGGGGTGGATCCCTTTCCCAGACACTTCATGAGACTGAAATTGATGTGACCAATCATTACCAATTCAACAGAGAACCGTCCGGAGTCGGGACTGCCAGTTCCATGGATTGTCATGGGCGCTACATGAAAGTCAATCCCTGTAGGGCTTGAAACCTACCTCCGTTTCGTTTCGGTGAGACTGGGTTGGATGCAAAAGGAGGGTCTATTGTCTTCGTACTCGTACCGAACCTGAGGAGGTATGACTGGAGCGGAAGCGAAAGATGCCCAGGACCATCCGAATCAGATGTCCTTTGACACGACCATTCTCTAGTTTCGTACGTACGAAAACCTTCAATACTGGTACCATCCGGAAGAGATACCTGGACCCCATGGATAGGGTTTCACCTAAACCTCCTCCAACTGAAAAACGTTGGCACCGGCACCCCCCACGTCCTCCTTTGGTCGAATCCAAGGTTCTTTTGCTGGATCCTTTCAAGGCAGTTCCAAGAGTTGCAACAGTTTTTTACAATCATTGGACCCTCCTAACCATCATTGGACCCTCCTATGAAGGGTTTTGACCCTATAGCATAATTAGCAGAGGCTTGGACCCTCAAAACCCTCACCTTTCAGGGTCCTTGATTCATAGAAGATGGCACACTCCTTTTTGCCCCAAGTTTCTCATTTTGTAGAGCTTGAGTACCTCTCCATGTGTTCTGAACAAGGCTACGACTCCCTGGAGAGATTCGATCGTTGCTTCTCCTGCGCCGCTCGCAGCGGCGCCTGCCAGTGGCTCCGAGCGCAGGCGGGGAGTCTCCGCGCGGCCTGGGAAGCGGGAAGCACGAGAGACTGGGGTAGATAGATAGACTTGTAAGAAGCACGACTGCGTGGGACTGCGACACCGCATGTGCTGTTTTGACACATTTTTCACCTGGACATGTCGCACGGCAGTGTCATGAAGCCTAAGAATTGGGAGGGGGGGAGTGATGTCGACCTCGGTCAACGAGAGGTGGCATAGCCCTTGATGCAGTACCCAGACACGACCAGTCTGGGACTGCCATATATGCCGCCCCATTGGGGTGCTTTGAGGGGTCAATTGATCGGCATATATGACAGTCCCATTAGTCATATCTGGCGTAGAGGAGGCCTTCATGGAATCTGTCGGTTTTTTTGTAAGAACACCCCCTAAGGGTCCAGGACCATCCGATTCAGATGTCCTTTGACCCCCCGTTCGACCATTCTCTGGAAGTACGTACTCACCTCCTGAGGATGGTGTTGGAGGTACCTAGACCCTATGGGATCCCGTTGTTTCCACATCTTTCAACGCCTCATCCCCTTGCGATGCCATTCCGTTCGGCCTCCAGTCATAGCGAACCTGAGGTTCGATGCGACTGGAGGTGTAGGGGTATATACTCGTATTGACCTACCATTAACCCCTTTTTCAACCAGGTCCATATGATATGGAGTGTTTGGGTAGGGTTCATCGCACTCAACCGCTCTCTCAGTACTACTGGTGTTGCAATCCATCTTCCTTTTGCTTAAAATAACAGCAGGACCTTCCCAGTGACCTTTTGAGATCACAGTGGCTGAGGTCACGAACAGGCCTTGAACAGGTCACTTACCAATCCTGAAAAGGTCACGAGTGGAAGGTCCTGGAGAGCACACGCTCATCCCATCCCGTCGGCCTCGCGGCGTCCGACGCGGCCGCCAGGGCACGGACGCGATTTGGAAGCCTTGGATCCCCAAGAAGGGCGCGTGCTTCGCCGGTCAAGGCATGTACTCCGTGCCTCGGCCGGTGCAGTCGTAACCAAAAGGCGAGAACGAACGGTGAGACATGTCCGGGCTGAGCTACGGTTCGATTGTTGTTTAGACCAGATCTTGGATTCGGCGGCCTTTTTTCTGGTCCCATTTGGGCTTCGTATCCATCTAGAAAGGTATGACCATGTGGCATTCCCGTGGCACCCACCGTGGCACCACCTTCGAAACAAAGTGAGTTGGGCACCACGTTCTGAATTTCAGACTGATCTGATATGGACCGTGAGGTCGACGATGAACGTGAGGTCCGACGGTGCAAAAGGCGCGACAAGACACGTCATGCGCCGATATGCCGATATCAGTTATTTTTTTGTGAAAGACCAAGCCCTGACACTCCATGTATGGCATCGAAGTGGCCTGGACGAATCTGGACAATCAAAGTACCTCGGAAAATGGGTACAGTCCTAGAGTCATACCATAGTTTTTCTGTAGGGTACTTGAAGTCGGGTCCAGGTCATAATATGCCTACACTGGGGTGATGGAACGAATGATCTATTTCCAGTCCCCTTGGACTGTCTCCAGTCCTGATCTGTTTGTGATGGTCCTATAAAAGCACCCTCCAACAGGTGCACAGAAACCACCTGTTAAGGTCTCCAAACAGCCTGTTGGAGGGTCCTGGTAGTTATAGTTCATGCAAGATTTCAGCTTAGGATCCAGCAGTTCGAGGTGATCCCCAACAAACCATGTATGGAATATGTTTGCATTGTCTATAGTGTGGTGATTTTAAGATGTTGCCATGTAAAAGTATTCCAGTGTCATGGCGATGGGTTGTTGGGGGATTTTGGAAGGGCCTTTGAATCCTTTGAACTGTGTTTTGCTCGGAGGTTGGCTCCCTCACAGTAGACCAACATTTTCAGACAACTCGAAATCCATGAAACAGCTTCTTCTTCGCGTGCGATCCTTTCACCAGAGATTGGTGCCTGGCCTTTCACCGAGCCGTTTTTGTTGATGAATCTGGTCGTACCTGGAGATCGACCCCCTTCGTACCTCGGTGTTCATGGGGCCCCAGGTGTCGTAGCTGTTTGGACTATGGGGTCAGACGTCACGTCCCATGTTCTGTTCGGTACTGGGTCGGGTCGACTCCACACGAGCGCTTTGGGTCCCCCCAGCGAACACGACCGCCCGACCGCCCACCGGTACCAGCTTATAGCCTTCACCGCGCCACTGTTGGCCCGTATACCCCGCTGTTAAGCCCCTTTTCCCAAACGGCGCGTCCGTGCCGAGATCACCGAACGGCGCTTCGTGGGCAGCCGCGGCGACGACGTGATCTGCGTGGCTTGCACCGCGGGGCGCTTCAGTCGACTGGTGCAGGACGAAATGGGGGACACCGCCGATTGCCGACGCGCGGCCGCAGCGGGTGGAGTGGAGGATGTTGCGGGTGGATGGAGCGGGTGGAGCTGTCTTCGTACCAAAAAAAACGGGAGGTGACTCATGAGCATCTCATGAGCCTATTTCACCGGGGTCAATTGTACAAGGAAGCCATTTTTAGGAGTACTTTGCAGGGAAGAAGAGGTCATGGAGATGGGGAACGGGAGTGGTTTCGCCTGAAAGTACGATGTTTCGATCAGACGGTACAATCATCTAAGAATCAAGAACCCTCAAGGGTGAAGGTTTTGAGGGCCCAAACCCTTGCTATGCCTGGTCAAAACCCTGGTCAAAACCCTCCAGAGGAGGGTCCAATGATGATTATTATAGGGCACCTTGTTTTGGGACCATGTGTTAGAGCTTTCTCAGGAGAATCATTTTTGCTCAGCTGTGGCATCCCACAGAGACATCCTCACTCCTCCAGACTAGGGGGTGAATCATGAGACATTTTCCAGTTTCATGGAGGAACATTCTCTGGAGGAATACCTTCCTAATTTGGACAAACGCATAATATATACTTTCATATTTAATATACTTCCCCCAATATCATGGGCTAGCTATGGCTATAGGTATTACGTTGCCTTTTGTGCACTCTTGATGTTAGTTGGCCATACACATTTGTGGGTCAGTGTCCTTCGTCGTCCAGTGGAAGAACTCTTCACCTTCCTCCAACATCTCAAATTCAGTGCAAAGATCCAGAACAGGCCGTTGTGGCCATCTTCCGCATCTCGAAAAAAACCCATGTTTCTCCGCATCTTCGGTTCCTGAACACAACTTCCGCTGCATCCTCTTGCTGGCCCTGAGATCTCTTTGCTGTAAGATCTCTCCGCCAGCAGACCGAGTTCCTGCCGCTGGCACCCCGTTTTGCTTCAGGCCCTTGCGCGAAGGGTTACTTTCAGCCATCCAGCTCGGCAGCGACTTGGGCGATCAGTGAGTGGTATAGTGTGAGTGGTATAGTGGTGTGTGAGTGGTGCACGACAGGGCACCAATCGGGGAACCGAACACCCTGGCATGTGTTGCCCCTTTCAGAAGCTACTTGAGACGGGCTGCTTTTTCGACGGGCACAGGGCTCCTTCTAGCTCCTTCTCCTGAAAAGCATGGGCGGTGAGTGTGTGAATCCAATCCTCTTGGAAGAGGATGTTCCGAACTAAGAAAAGACATGCAATCCTCCAGGAGTCACAAGGCTCGGGATGCCGAATGAACGGAGGAAGGACAGGGATGCCCAATTCGTGGCCCAATTGGGCCCTTGTCACAAGCCCTGGAAGAGACTCAAAACCATCCAACTCCATGTGACAACCAACAAAACACATGTGTTCATCACTTCGCGAGGAGGGTGACTTTACTCTAACTGTGCCCATGGGGATATGTGACTTCACGCTCTTCCATGTGTATACTTCACCCTCCCGCTTGAAGCTTGGGTTTCTTCGGAATGTCTTGGGGGGCCCCATGCCCTTCCCATGAATCTTCTTTCTGCCACACGAGCAGCGCCGAGCAGCGGCTTTCAATGGCCACCTTGGGACCAGCCCAGACTCGACCAGCCCAGACTGGGATCTTCGACTCGTTGCCGACTAGAGGGACTGGTCCGGACGAACATGACTCAGGTCACCTGTTGGAACACGTTGCCTTTGGTTTCTGCATCCAAATAGGTCGGAAACCTGGTTCCAGATCCTTCCAGTCCCTACATACGTCCAGTCTGACCCAGGTCCAAACCTGGTCCTTTAGAGCTTCTTTAATAGTGTTTTTGTATGACCAACTCCAGTAAAATGAGGCCATTGACTTGTAGGGACTGTAGGGAGTATTTGTGGGTCTTAGGTTTTTGTTGAGCCGAGCCGGTCCGGAACGTGGAGGAGACTCGTTGACACGTACGTGGAACGTGGTGTGACCGGATCGTTGTTTGAAAGGATGGAGACTTGACCTGAACTGCCCAAAGCAGGTATCACTCCAGAGCCACTGCCAGCCTCGCCCTAAGAAGGTGATGGGAGACGACACTGCAGTCGTACCGAACCTGAGGGTCGGTACGACTGGACCCTTATAGGGAATGGGTACACCCAGACGCTCCGTTCACAGCCCGACTGGTCCCTCAAAACGCATAGAAAATTGGTTCGGGTCCAGATCCCGAGGGACAATTCGCGTCCGAGCACCGCATCTGGGCAGATCTGGGCAGATCTCGTACCGTCGGCGCCCCAAAACCAGGTGAGTTGCGACCCCTGCCCCATGGGACGCTTCGCCGCGAGCGCCCGCAGTGCCTACTGCGAGTCCTGCCCCATAGGTCGGATCGAGAGATGGGTGGAGAATGGGGCTCAACCAGCAGGCACCCAGTTCGGGTGGTTGATAGACTTATACATACCAAGTCACTCATTGAGACCGGCCTAACAACCCTCCATTTCGGACACCTGTTGGAGGGTCCTGGTAGACACATATAGACACCCTTTCGGATCCAAAAGGACTTCCCGAGTTGGGTGGGGTGGTGCGGACACTGGAGAACGGATGGAAGATTGAGGAGGGATCCCACAAGCTTCCTTTTTTGCGCTGCACATGCGGTCGCCCCCAAAGGAATGGGTGTGAGCCTTCACCTGGAGCCAGGTTGAAGGTGTGTCTATAGATCTTCCAACTATGCTACATGTATGCCGTTTAAGTGTATAAAACCAGCCCAAAGGCATAGATTGTTCACCACTGGAGTCTCAAAGTACCTCGCAAAATGGGTACAAGTACCTGTTTTTATGTGGTCATGTCCCATTTTCTAAGGTACTTTGGAGACTTCAGGTAGTCGGAAGATCTGGGTATAGCTTAAGTCTCATCCGTGCGATCCCAACAGGTTTACATTGTTTTACCCCTCGAACTCAGTAAACATCCAACCATCTCCTCAGAGAGGTTGAACAGCCTTAGGGTGCATATGCCAATATTTTTACCACAGACCAGGGTCCGAACGTGAAGCGGTCTCTCAACCTCTCAACAGGTATCCTCAGAAGATATAGTTAGACCGTTAGACCCCCCCAAACCTATCCCCGGCCACGGAACCTCGCTACGAACGGGTCAAGTCCAGATATCCTAGGCCTCCAGTCGTACCTCCTCAGAAGGTACCTGCTACCCTGGATAGATACCAATTCTAGTCTAGGATACTAAAAGATGGGATTACGGTAAAACACGTCCCGGACAACAATTCTCCTCCTTGCATACCAAAAGACAACAATTAGCGACATGGACAACAAAAGGTGGTTGTAAGGTTTAGCAGGTATGACTGGACCCTCCTGGCACCCACCCCAGTTCCACCGAAGCTCAGAAGGTACGACTGGAGGTATAGGGAGATAGTTCTTCACTTCGAGATGTCGAACCTTGCCGTCGCTGGTCGGTCCTGCTTCGTGTCCTGATCCATGAAGAGACGTCAGAGGCTCTGGTACGATCGGAAGAACAGCGCCCCCTGCAGCAACTGCTTCCTGACCCCGACTTCAAGTACCCCATGAACATCAACTGCAGTATTCATGTTCCTTTGGGACTCCAGGTTTGTCGTCTTGGTGAGGTCCAAAGCCCGAGTTGGGAGGGTCAAAATCCATCAAAACATGTTTAAAACCCACTCGCGAATGGGTTGGGTTCCTTTTGAACCGGGAGAGTTGGAAGCGTTGCCACCCATCCCGGATGGGCTCCAGTCGATCCTACCTCTGTTTGTCGGTAAAGGTCCAAGACTGGGGGGCTGTGAGCCCACCTGGGCTGTGTGTCAAGACCTATAGAGGCTCTGAACTTTGGTGTCAGGTTGACCTCCCAACAGAGGTTGAAGAACCCGACTATCCCAGTTCGGTAATTACCCCAGTAAGGTCCTATTTACGGTCACTGGACACCTCTCTTGGTCCTCAGTATTCTGTTCATTTGCAGTGGTCAACCAGGGTCACATTGCCATAAATCCTCAGATGCTTTGATCCCCCTGCTCCAGCGAAACCTCCCCATTCCAGTGCCCGTTTCGCCTGGCTTCGCACGCTGGAAGGCACATACCAGGCGAAGGAGGCCTCAAGTGCTTGCGTGGATTGCCCCATCGGGATGACCACGTGGGGCTTGGAAGCTTTCAGTTTCTTCTTCTGCACTTGCCAGGAGGGCTGGATTCTCGGCAGCGTTTGGCCAACATGCGAGAGGAGAAGTGGATTATATAAGCCTGAGATTGCTGCCTAGCAAAGGGGTCAACCGTGTCAGTATATACTCTTTGGAGTTGTTGTTGGTTGATCACCCTCCTTTGTTCGATCTTTGTTCGTTGATGAAGCTCCTTGGTTCTTGCTCCACCAGGGTTCTTCCCTATTTTTCCCTATTGGAAAACATTGGACATCCCTTTGGAATCGCTGCAACATGGTGCAACTACAAGTGGGGTGGTGACCTGTGAAGTCGGGTGCTGGTACATATTTATTTGGGACAGCTCGGCAGCAACAAGAACCGGCAAAGAACCGGGCAGCTTGGGAGAAAGGATTCTAGATTGGCTTAGATTGACCCCTTAGATTGGCATCGGACCAACTCTCAGGATCCGGAAATAAGAAAACCTAAGTTGCAGACACTATAATGGATGTAGTCGTGAACAGAAAGAATCTAAGTCTACATATACTTATATGTTTGTTTGTTCAATCTAAGTCTTCTAATCTACTACATACCACACCTCCTTAAGGTCGACCTCTTGGTACTTTGAAACAGCACATCCGTCGGCCATCGCTCCGGATGAAAACAACACTCGACTCGACTCTCTCGTCTCGACTCGAGACTGACCTTTCTTCACGAACGGAGAAAAACGGGGCATCGCTCCGAACGGGGTGGGCAGTCGAGTCCGCACACAGCGAGTCAGCACAGGTATCGAATTGGACTCGAGTCCAACTGCTCGGAATGCCCCGCGGGGATGCACTGCCCAGGCGGAATGGACCGGATGGACCGATGGGGGGTTGGCGGTTGTCAGGCAAGCTTTCAGGCATAGGCAAGCCCCGAAAGCGGAACCGCGCAGCGAAGCCGCCAGCTTTTCCCCCAAAGACTCCACCTGCAGCTTTTGGTTGGTAACTTGGTTATGTTATGTAACTTGGTTATGTTATGTTAACCTGTTGTCACCAGGAAGCACCTGTTGGAGGTTGCTTGTACAAGTATACCGGTATACCTGTTTTTATGGGGTCATGTCCCCTGTTCTAAGGTACGAACTGGAGACTCCAGGTATACTGGACCATCCTGGATCTTCGGGGTGTGAAACTGTGAAACATAGAGATTCAGGTACCCTAGCGGGTACGGTACGACTGGACCCTCCTGGCACCTACATAACAGTGCCTCCGTCCTCACCGTACCTGAGAAGGTACGACTGGATCCCTAGGGGTAAGTTATGGTATTTGGTCAATTTGGTCGCCGATTCCAGCCCAGAAGACACGTTCTGGGGCGGGTCACGGTGCTGCCTTCGCCCTGGTCTCAGACCTCCGGAGCTACTTCGGTTTCGGTGAGACGCGTGTGGAGGGTCTAAGCACCTGAGGATGTACGACTGAAGCCCTACCAGGACCCTCCTGCCCAGGCTGTTTGGAGACCCGACCACAGGTGGTTTCTGGGCACCTGTTGTCACCAGGAAGCACCTGTTGGAGGGTGCTGGTATAGGGCCCTAGAGAATGGTGGTTACAAGGTCTTTGAACTGGAAGGGGAGCTGGAAGGAGTTCCGTAACTTCCTTCGTGGCGTCTCATGGGATTGACGACTCGCAGACGAAGTCGATTTGTCGATTCGAACGAAGAAGCTTAGTATATATTCAATGGGGTCTCTGTCGGGGAACGGGCCCGGCACGAGCCACCGTCGGAGTTCGGAGTTGGCTTTGAGACTGGATCTTCGCACCCCGAAAAACATCCGACCAGTTTTCTTCGGCGCGGAATGGCGGGTGTTTTCTTCGCACCGATTCAACGCCGATCGCGCGCTCCAATCAGACGCTTCAAATAACGCCTCCAATCAGACCAAGTCCAATCGCGCTCTCGGTGCTGGACCATGTGGGGCTTCGCGGTGACCCCAAAAGATCCCCCTTGGATCCCCTTGGTATATCGCGATGATCTATACCAGGACCTTCCAAGAGGTAGCCTCTTAGCGGTTAAGGGGTGTCCAAAAACCACCTGTTGGAAGGTCCTGGTATATTTGCTGTAGGGGGACCACCTGGATTCTGGAGCAGGTCCAACGTCACCACAAGGGAAAAAAAGAGCAAGCAACTGTTCGCCAGATTTCAGCAGGATGTTATAAGCAAGGATGTGCCAGGATTGTTTTAAGAATGTTTGTGTGTCTCAGTGGCAGGATTTAAGAACAAGACCCTGGGAGATTGTGGCTCAAATGTCCACCATGTTGGTGGCTGCGCAGACAGATGTCCAACACTGTTTGTTCGCGACGGCCCCTCTGCCGGGCACACTGGGGGGGCACACCATCCTGATATTGCCTAAGCCCCCAGGAAAAAATAAAGATCTTTTTGGCAGGCGACAGGAAACAATAAATGCCCAGACTTGCACTTGACAGGGATTCCGTATAACATCTAGGTGCCCTGGGTCGCGGGGACAACACAGGGGGATTCAAAAAGGACGTATACTTCTCCTCATTCTCCGCCCGCGCCACAGGCGAAGCCTTCCTGCCCCAGCAAAAGGCGGGGTTTTGGGCCTACACCACCAACCTCATCCAGCGAGACCCCAACGTCGCCGTCGTCAGTGTGGGCTCGCTGGGCAGCAGCGGTGTGTTGTGCTCCTCGGCGGGGTCCGTGCGGTCCCAACGTGTGATGAAAGGATCTCAAGAAAGCTAGGGCTTCCAAGCCAGCAGTCACATAGCTCCGGGGTGCGATCCATGGAGGTAGGAGGGGTGCCCCAAAATGCTACAGAACACATCCACGGCCCCTGGATGGGGACGAGCCACACCACCCAGAGCTCTGTGATTCCGACTCCTAGGAGCCGTTTTTGTTTCTGGGACTGGGTTTTTTAGGCACCAAGTGGATGATGCCATCGCCGCACGCACATGTAGCTTGTGTACCGAAGGCTCTGCCAAGCTTGACCGGGGCGGGGTCTCCGTAGACTGGGAGTTGACCCGTTCGTAGCTCAGAAATATGGGTACAGTCATGTGCAGTCGGACCTGGTTTTTTAAGGTACAGTAGTAATTACTTTAGAGGGTCCAGGTAGACAGAAGAAATCTGGACATTGACCAACACGAAGCCATGGAGCATGATACGTGGCCCTGTGAAAACAGCTACTGGCTACTATAGGCACCATTTTCTCGCATCAACACAGATGCCAGGCGCATCAACAAAAGGCACCTTGCTACCAGTTGCCCTCAAAACCTTGAAGAATAAAGGAATAGGTTTTCACATTCAAAAGCTAGAGGTTTTGGATGGGCCATGTGGGGCCCCTGGTATAGTTGGACATTGTTCACAGCTCGCGCGATGCTTCGCGATGCTTCGCGACACCTCGCTGCTTCACCCCACCTGCCGGAGCCTCCCGGGCGGCCCGGTCCTCCGAAAAGAAGGTGGGCACAGACCTCCCAATTGCGGTCAAATTGATGTTTATTTTGCCGCAAGTAGAGCCTATAATCTTGAACCCCCCATGTTTTTGTACAATCAACTCAACTCCGATTACATTTGAGGTCAGTGCTTCACCTGTATGGGAAAGGTGTTTCCCCTTCACCCAGTAGTTCCATGGAGGTCGGTGACGGCTCCCCAGATGTCACATCCACTGGATGAGACTGAACGCCATCCAACTCCACCCCTGGACTCAACTCCTCTCCAGTCACCGCGTCTTGGGCATGTTGGACCATCGTGGACCGGCCGAAACCAACGCCCGAGCCAAGATGGTCCACCCTACTCGGTCTACCAATGCCGCAATGAGCTGCAATGCCCTGCTGGTGAAGTGATGACATGCGCGAAGAACCGCATTGGTCAGGCATGTGGCAGTTGCATGAAAGGCCGGGGCACCACGTGGCCTTGGGAGTCCATGAACCACCCCCCCGAGGCCGACTGGGGGGTCCAGTGCTGTGTTCTTCCGCTCAACGGAATTGTGCACAGAGCCGTCTCCTACCTTCTATAGCCTGTGGGTGTAGAAATGATCACCCCCAGTGGCATGGGGTCATCGCAGGTGCGAAGGGTCGCGCTATCCGGGTCGCGCTATCCAGGTCGTGACACTGTGAAGGGGTGAAGGAAACCACACTTACCCAGACCATCCACGAGACTGGCATGTTCACCTTTATATGGACCCTATGAAAAAGCAAAAAAGGATAAAAAAGGTATATGTTTAAGATGTCAATGTCTTAAAAACAACTTCGAGAGTTGGAAAACACTTCCCACACGGATATATGTGCCAGTTCCCGCTCCCTCGTTTCTTCCCGGCTCCCACCTGTGCCAGTTCCCGCTCCTCCCGCTCCCGCGTAGTATACGCTCGCTCAGCTGATCGCATGGACCGCCTCAGGGCATTCGGCGCAGTTTGATGGCACGTGCAAGATCTGTGACGGAGAATCGGGAAGCTGAAAGGGCCATGGGCACTGGTGATACTTATGACAGAACATCGAAGCAATCCGATCCAGACCCATACTACTACATCTTATATAGTGCAGTAGCTATAGCACTTGGAGTGCTGGGGTCTCTTACGAATGAAACATGAAACATGAATCCTCTATAAGCCAATCCAAGGAGTGTCCCATGGAGATCCCTAGTTGGGTAGTCGCTGTTCTCGATGTCCACGTCCAACCCGCCCTGGGAGTTTGAAGCATCGGATCCAGCTGTTGGACCTTCCCAGAAGACAGCTGTTGAAAGAACATTGAAAACGTGCCTGAGGTGGATCGTGCGATCCGTCGAGTCTCGCGAAGGGTGGTGAGTGGAGGTGTGGGAACACCCCAGCACTTCGTGGAATGACCTGAGTGTACCTCAACGTCGACCCGTTCATACCGAACATGGGACGTTTGACCCCCCATGGTCCAAAGAGGCCACTGCATGGGGGCCCCATTTTCTGAGGTACGAGTTCCGGGTCGATCTCCAGGTATTGACCGGTTAGTTGAGGGGTTGAAAAAGGGATCAGTTAAACCATGTGAAACATGTACCAGGGCCCTCCGTTTGGGGTGTATATTTATACCACAAAAAACCGTGATTCAGGGTGTCCATTAACCACCCCGACTGGAGGGTCCTGGTATAGACCATATTTGACCCCTCAAATCATGTCATCTGAAATTTGGATGTTAACATACAGCCGACGACTCTATGCATCCCTCCGCGCCCAGCAAACACACCATCTTTTCCGTGCCTACTAGCTTAGCTGTTGGCGATCCTTCCTTCCGTGCAGTCGCCACCTCGAGGTAGACTGTCTCGTTGTCCAGGAGAGTCGCTGTGGCCTGTCTTTCTGATGCTCTTCGTGTCCTTGGCCTTGTTGCCCTTGATCGTGGCGGCAGGGCTCATCATGACGAAGGCACGACGGACGGCCTTGAGCGTCTTCATGGTCAGCGCCTTGGGCGACAGGCCATCAACGGGGTCGGGGAGAGGCGGGAGAGGTGCCCCTGTCGGGTTGTCAGGTCTAGGAAGAGTGGTGGAGGAACCTGAACTGATAGCCTTTTCGTGGTGCAATATATAGGGCAGAGAATGGCATATATATATATATGATACCAGCAGTGACAAAGGGGTGCTTAATGGAGGTTAGGGGTGCCCATTATCCACTCACTTGGGGACCAAACACCACCCCTTTGTCACTCCTGGTATATCACTCCATGTATGCCATATATGCCTACATTGACCCCCCCAATGGGTATATTTTTTTGGTGGGTTGTTCAAGCTTTTTCGGGCAGTTGGACGGAACTCATGGGAACACCAAAGGGTGGTCAGGTTGGCGTGTTGATTTTCTGGCCGTGTGGGCGTGACGTGTGTACGAACCCCCAAATCTGACGTCTCATGTCAAGTCGGCTTTAGGCATTTGGTGATCCTGGAGTAGAGCGAAGAATCCTTTATATCCTTATAGAAGCCGAGCTCGACCAGTATTGTAGGACTGCCCCGCCCCCCCACCATACAAACTACCTTTTCCAATCCTTTTCCTATCAAGCCAGGGGCCATATTTGGCTTCAGTGCCAATGAGTCATCCCCAGCACCACTACGGAAAGGAGCTCCCTTCGCGGTGTCCATTCACGAGGCAGATCCTTTGCCCTTCCGCTCGGCTTCCGCTTCCGCTTCAGGTCTGATCTTCGGACAGATCGTGGTGTGTTTGCAGGGCCTGGATGCGATCTACCAGTTGGATCTCACGTGGAAGGAGAATCGATCGCTCGATCGATCGAAGACGTGGGCTGGGTGGGAGGATTTGGGCCGAGAAGAAAGAGGTCCTGACACGACCCAAGCAGAACTGGCAGTCCTGACTCCCAATCAGTTGGGCGTTTCAGGGGTCGGCGTTTTCTTTTTCTGTACCAGCAGTCACCCCGAGCTCGGGGTGGTGTGAAACGTCCCCATCCCGTGAGTGGATGTGTTCTGTAGCACCCCGACTACCTCCATGGATAGCACCCCGGAGCTACGTGACTGCTGGTACATGAAGTGTTTGGGATGGTGAATCCAAGATGATGGGTTTTGCTTGTATTGTGGAAGACCAGTAATTCTTCCACAAGATCACTGCGTGCCTAGTTAAAGGTGTCACTTAGGAACGGGAACCGAGTGTCGGCTTTTAGTAGCCAGATGTAAAAGAACAGACATCCCATGCGACAAACTTCCACCTTAAGCTGTTTGCTAGAAGACAAGCGAGTATCCAGTCGTACATTCAAGAGTTCCATGGTTCGTGGCGTAGGCGTACGGTTGGGTGACTTACTTCGAATCCTCATCCTCCCGTGTGGATGAGCACCGATCGGATCACTACGGGACCACCTGGGAATAACTTCGGGAGAAAGCGGTGGATCCGTACTTCTTTCAAGCCGCAAACCCGAACTTGTTTCAAGCCGGTCGTCATGTGGAGGCCAAAAGCAAGTATAAGGGAGAGGAGGCCAGAAGCAAGTAATATAGCAACAAGTGCCACGCTAGTAGTAACAAGAAGCTATTAATTGAATTGTAACAAGAAGCTACGAGTTGTCTGGCCCTCCGGTCACACCTTCCGTTCGTTGACGCTTCGACATTGAGACCTGTACCCGGTGCCCAAACGTCGGGTCCCTAGGCTAGCTGGTTTCACCCGTTTTGGGACAGACAATGGGACAGGTTGCCACAAAGCATCGATGGCTGGTTTAAAGATGTTTAAAGATTCCACATCCATGGATTGTTGGGGTTATCAAAACATGGACCCCCTCAAGGGGTGGTTAATGGACACCCCGAATCACAACTAAGGGGTATAAATAGACACCCCAAACGGAGGGTCCTGGTATGTTATCAAAACATGTTCGGTCACCCAGCCACTTGAAGAAGATGTGTGGCGCCGATGTTTCCCCTAGAGCTCGAAGCACCCTTGATGTCAATGGACCTCAAGGATTTTGCAATACAAAACGCAGGTGAACCGAAGGGGAAGGATGTCTATCGTCCACTGGAAGGCGGTTTTGGTCAGCTTTCTGCCGTCTCGACAGCTTCGAACGGCAGACCGGCGGCTCGACTTGTCCTACAGGACCCGGCCAAGGCCATCTTGGCTGCCCTCGCTGTTGCTCGGTCCATGTGGTGCTGCGAGCATCGGGCGGGTGCAGCTGCTAGCTGGTTTCAGGTGCCACAAAGAATGGAAAGGCTGTAGAATTCGTGTGGGACAGTTCTTTGGAGTCGATGTTGATTCTTCTTGAGGGGGGTCAATCTGAAATGAGCAAGAGGCACTAGACCGAGATACAGTCTGAGCCCCACAAGAGGACCTTCCTCTCTTTGCTTAAGGTCGGAGTTCAGGATCTTCCCCACGTTGGGGGGGTCGAGGCTCACCCTTCTCCAGTCCTAGACCTTCTGAGGTTTGATGATTTTTCGTTGGGCTTGTCCCCACCTCAGCGCCGCTCTTTGTAGATAGCCCAAACCACGCAGTGTCATCCCTAGGGATCCACTGCCACCGAACCTCGGGTTGGGGGAAGAAGAAGGCCCTAGCCTTCAAAGACCATTAAAAGAACAGTTGAGCTGGTGGTGTAGTGTAAAAATCCGTAGTAAAAGCTGATGGTTCTTTGGGATTCAGACCATTAAAAACAATGGTTCTTTGAATCCTATAGAGAAGGTCTTCAGAAACCACAACAGTGGTCACGACATGTCAACGACTCTCGGGGAACCTCGGCAGGCCGGGACGAGTTCACGCGTTCGATGCCGGGCAGACGAGATCTCGAGACAGTTCCGGGAACGGATGGTGACTTGGGACCCATGTTTTAAGACATCTGCTTCTGCATTTCAATTCTTTGACGTTCAACCTCCTGACTTCACCGCGTCCTGCTGATTTGCCGTGAGGTTCCTTCCTTTCCTTAGGTAGGGCGTTGGCGTCGTTACCCGGTCATCCTTTTGAGCGGTGCTACTGCAGTTCCACCGTGCTGACACGACCCGACTACTTTTGGGATCTGTTTGGCTTCCACCGCACGACGGAGAGTAGAGAGGCCACGTGCACACGCGCGCCCAAAACGCATGTCATATATGTGGCTGGCATCCAGAGCAGAGAGCACAACTTCACCGCTTTCGAACCACAAAGTGAGCTCAATGGGATCCACTGATCCCACCGCTCCTATCGGTGAGGACGCTTCGACATGTGGCCATGTCGTGCCAGCCAGACGGTGTCCGGTGGGTCCGTGGGTTCGTACCGAACCTGAGGTGGTCGGTACGACCAAATGGATCCCTTTAAAGGGTCATGAGCCGCGCTATGCCGCGTTCCCAGGTCTTCAATTTGGACCTGGAGTTCAGCTGCTTGCTGCCGCCACAAAGTTATACGGTAGATTCTTGGAGCAGGCACTGTAATTGTTTTTTGTTGCAAACGAGCTTCCAAGGGCAAACATCTTGGCTATACATGTTTCAGAGAAAAGGATATAACTGTTTGTCCATGGTGCATGTATATATGTGCGGAAACCGTTTCCGCGATAGAGGTTTTTCACTCCCTGAAATCATGGTTCTGCGGAAGACCGGCTGCCTGGTTCTTTCAATTGACCTTTTGATACCTTTTGATCCCCCGGTCGGTACGGTTGCAAGCAGGACCAACTGACAAGGCTCCCAATAATTCAGGTCCCTCCGCCTCTCTTGATTCTCCCCAGGCCTCCAGTTGTACCGAACCTGAGAAGGTTGGACTGAGGTGGGTGCCAGGAGGGTCCAGTCAGACCTTCCCAGATGGTACACGTGGAGGTGTAGGGTTGGATATTCCAGATGTATCGCTCGCCCAGGAATATGTCTTGAAGCTCCTGGCCTATCCGGCTGTGGTGTTCATCACCTTCCTGTACCTTGGTGGTGATTTGTCAAACCGCTCTCCATGCTGTTTGACATTCCTTATCACCAAGGGATGAAGAAGCCCATTATATCCCATTCTACGTCCCATGTATAGTACACAACCTGATTTTGGTATGGGACGTGAATTGCGTGTAGCAAGTGTTTCTTCGACCGGTGAGTGAAAATGAATGCTTTGTTTTGCTCATTTGGAGCGGTCGGATCCGCGTGAGCCTGGTGTATGGATCTCAGAGAGATAGTCCAGTCCAAGGACTCTGAGAGTGTTTGTGCTGAGACCAATGGGCGCTAGTAAGGACGCTGTCACAGACAGTGTAGCATGTCGGATGCACCCAACTGGATCACACGAAGCTTCAACGCACACTAGCATAGACCTAAGGTTTGACCCTGAAAACGGTGCTTGGTGTGATGTTGCGAACTCACTCGAAGCTGCGCTCGTGACCGTCCACCTGCCGTCCTCCACCTGCACGCCGCGAGACGAGGGTCGAGAGGTTGGAACGAACGCCCCAAAAAGCGACTGCTTGAATGACATTCTGAGCAACCCATGCCCAGACAGTCCATGGGACTGGCATATTTACATACGTTGACCCCTAAAACCACCCCAATGTAGGTAAATATGCCAGACATGGAGTGTTTGGGATGGTTTTTACTCTACCAGAACCCGACTCGTTCGGGGGTGTCGATGTATAGCCCCGAAACGCCCCTTAGCCAGCTGTTTTTTTTTCGGGGTGTTCATGAACCACCCCGACTGGAGGGTCCTGGTATAGAAATAGTGCCTATACAAAACTTTTATGATCTTTTCTCACTCCCGGAATTGCATCCAAAAGCCCAAAAGCCGAAGGAGAGAAGTCAAAACAGGCCGGTACAGTTTCAGCACAAAGGAAAGGAAGCAGGCAGCTTGCAACATCCTAGATGTCCAACTGTCACCATCCATGCCAAGAGCTTTGACTTCCCTCCATCTCATCTCAAGCACCGCGCAGGGCATGGTTGAGCACCCGATGTAGCAAACATGCGGTGCCCTTCAATGCCTTTGTGAACGTCCATGGCTTCTTGGATGGTCGTCATATGCATCCTATGCGTCAGATTTTTGCTTCGGGGTAGTGGTACCCTTAGACTTGAACAGATGCCTTTTCCGAGAGAAGTTCCACTCTAACCATCATTGGGCCTTCCGAACTGGAGGGTGACCTGACCCTGCAGGTTCCGCAGGGGTTTGGACCCTCAAAACTTTCACCAGCTGAGGGTCCTTGATTCTTAGGGCATGATATAATATATACCTTGAGTCTCATCTCTAAAAACGCGTTTTTCGAGCAAAATCGCAAACATATTAGACCCAAAACAAAAACGCAGAAAAAAAAGGTCTTTGGAGACTCAAGGTATATATATATATAATCACTATGTGCTTCCGCAAAAACGTGGGATGAACTAGATGAACCCCCCATGCTGCGAACTTTGAGTGAAGTGAAACCCCATGCGACTCGCCCCCTACAGAGCGACTCGGGAGAACAAGGTGGACAGAGCGACTCACGGAGCGGGTTTTCCATCGATCGGCGGCATGTGCAACGGGCGATGTTGGATCAAAACGTGGGTTTTTGCTGATCAGGTGATAGTGATTACTTTTTCTACATGTTCACCCTTCTGGGTGAATATGTCTATTTACCTTGCTTCTGGGTTTTGCTGATCAGGTGATTTTTGTGTTTTCCCTTTTTGGTGGGTAAATCCATGTAAATCACCTTTTCTGGAGAATCTTCTTGTTCTGTATGTTTCAAGTTCCTTGGGCACAAGTCCAAGTTCAGCGATTTTCGGGCACAGACTCCGCTTGGCAGCGGAAGACCAGCTTCGCAGATGGTCTTTTGGTGCCTCTTTCGCCAGAGAGATGGCGCCAGCTGTGGTATACTGTGTGGTCTGGTATGGTAGGCTTCAACATGGCCCACATCCGGTAGGCCCACCTCCGCCCACATCCAAACAAAGCCATGCGATGACCCACATCACTGGGGTTGACCGGTCCAGGTCCGGTCGTGGAGGGTCTGTACCCGGTGGAGACGACACGAGCGACGAAGCACGGCCCCCCTGTGGGCGCGACTCCGACCTGCAGTCGACTCTATAGTCGACTAGATCCGGCATATATAAAATGAAGGGTCGTAATGAATTTCTATAGTTTAATTTGATGGTTTTTCCTCAAGGGTCAGAGGATTTCAGAGGTCTCAAGGAATGCCCCTCTGGATTTGTCTGGAGAGAAACACCAAAACCAACACAGGCACCAGGGTACCCGCCAGGTACCATAGCCTCCTCGTCTCATCGCCAGTGGGCCGAGGCCTTTTTGTGGTGGCACTCCTGACCGCTTTGTCACTCACTGTCGTGCGCCCCCTCCAGTGCCGCAGCAATCCGTGCCGCGGAAGGAACGGAGTCGCGACGCGCCACGGAAACGGACGGGGAGAAGAGCCACCGGTGGGGGGGGAATCCAGCTGTTGAGCACGGTCGTGCGGCGGCGAATATTTGTGCGTGAGAGCTTGAGAGGTGCCTGGTTCTTCAAGACCTACATTTTGTGTCTGATATCCCACTTTTGAGGTCACTTGAGGGTGTTGTGATTTTTTTTGTTTTGGTCACTTTTGGTGGTGTCTTTTGGTGAGGAGGGGAAGTGATTTTGGGGTGGGTCCACTGATGTAAGGCCTGGCTGGAAGTCTTCAACGGGCGGTGACTCGATTTCAAGTCTAAGACTTACTGAACACTGAACACGCCCCAAAAGCATCCATACAAGCGCGCCCCCGGGCGGTACCACCGACGGTGGAGCCAGCTCCACCGCACGGTGGCGACACTTGAAGAGAGTTGGTCTTAAAGCTGTCGAAGTCACACCGGTCATCTGGAAAGAGAACTGCCCAAACACTTGGACATGGTCGACATTTGTCGACGACATCTGTCGACATTGTTTGCAGAAATTTGTGGATGGCCGTCTTGAAGTATACACATGTTTAGTTGGGAGAAGGAATTCGGATTTCCTTGGACCTGTTTGCAGCTGCGTTCTCTTTTTTTGTTCTGAGGAATGGGCTCTTTACTGTCTCTTCCAGGCCAGACCTGACATGTTTCTTGGCTTTTCGTGAGTGTACAGAGTCCTTGGTTTCCTCAACGCAGGCTGCATCTGGAGACCTTTTTCTGGCTGCTGGAGACCTATACTCGGTGGCTCAAGTCTTTGAAGACCTATTTTAACCTGCAGTCTCCAGTTCGTACCTTAGAAAATGGGACATGACCCCATAAAAACAGGTACGACCATACCCATTTTCCGAGGTACTTTGAGACTCCAGGAACATCTATCAACCATTTTGGTACACAAAATTATTGATCACCGAACAAAGAAGAGTTGGTTTTGGATGGGTTTTGGATGGTGACGCCAGACGCGCAAGGACTCTGAAACCGACTGAGGACCCCTCACTTCCTCCCCCCCACGCACGCCTACTCCAGTTCGGTCCATTTCGACGAGGTGCGGTTCGATCGGAAGTGAACAGCTTCTTCGGCCTTCCCAAGACCCGATGCAAGGGTTGATGTTTGACTGGTCTGAAGCATGGTTTGAATGGAGTATACTATAGTATACTATACAACACAGGGTCGAAGTTTCTTTGAAAGGTCTTGGAGGAAGGCTGGGGGGAGAGACACACCCAGGAGGGCACACAGGTGATTGTATTCATGGTGGGCTCCAAAATCTCTGAGGATTGGAATATGATACATGTGGGTCATGGCACCAGGATACCAACCGATTGACCTGCAAAAAAGTGCTCGCTACATGGTGGATGGATCGGGCTGCAGGTTGAACGGAAACATAATGCTCCTCTTGTGGTGCCGGCTTAAGCATTTTCTGGTGGACAAACAACAGCAAAAAGCAACATAATACAAACAAATGAAAACAAGCAAAAACAGAGGACTTGACTACAACTTCACATGTAGAACAACAAAGGATCAAACACGTATTACAAAACATACGTAAAAGTGAAAATAACAGACCATGCCATAATTAGAACATAACAAATAGAACGAGGAAAGCAACAACACGCAGAATCCTGAAAGCAATGAAGAAACACAGACAGGAAACAAGAGAAGCACACAGAAAAACAGCAATCAACGAACACGGGCAAATAGCAAAATAGCAAAAGGAATGTGTAATATAATGTGCATGTATACGTATATATGATTGAATATGATTGATATTGCTTTCTCACTTACTTCAGGAAATTTTAGAATGGGTACCAAGCAGTTTAGCAATTTAGAAGCAGCTGAACACATGATTAAGATTCTCAGGCATAGGAACTAAAGACATCTGGTCCTGACATATCAGATTGCAATACTCTGGTAGATGGTTGATCAGTTCCACCACACTCTTTGGTCAAGTAGGTCTTAAAAGAAGAAACAACTCAAGAAATCAAGACCGTTGGGACACCTGAGCACGAGGCTGTGAACGAAATGTCGCGACCTAGTCGGATGGTTCAGATGGTTTGATCATGCCTCAAAAATTGCGCATTTTGTTGGAGAAGTCTGAGGCTGGGAGACTGAAGAACATCAAACTTTAGTGGTTTTCGTCTCCATCGGCATCTTGGCCTATCCCGTGACCATCCTCAGCTGCATCGCTTACCTCACCAGGCGGGTGTTCAACGGAACGCTCTTGAAGGTTGAGGAGGAGGCTGCATGCTACACATGGGAAATCATCCATCCAGATCATCCAACCGATGATAAACCCAATGCCAGACCCGAACAATCCATGTATATATTGGGATGAATTTGGCATAACTCATACCAGGACCCTCCAAGGGGTGCCCAATGGAAGCCTATAGGTAGTGTGGGGTAATCCTTGGAGGGTCCTGGTATATGTTCCAAACTCAATGACCTTATTTAGGGATTACTTCGACCCCAGACCCGAATTCAGGGCCGATCTTTTTTCCAGGATTCGGCTTTTCAGTCTTGTCTTGAAAAGCCATCCCAACAGGAGCGGATCGGCCTCGGCCTGGCCCGTCCTCTTCCAGCAATCCGCTACACCGCTTCGAGGAATTATCTAAAACCCAGACGCTCCGTGAACGACGCCCGACTGGTCCCGAACCAAACCATAGGGATTGGTTCGGGTCCAGACGAATTCCATAGGATTCGGGTCCGACCCCTGCATAGGTTCGGGGCCGAACGGGTCGCGTCTGGGAAAGAAAAAACACCGCTCGCCCCTGGAGTCTCGGTCGTATACCTCACAAAAAGAGGGGCCCCAGGCGTCGTAGCCTGTTTGGACATGGGGTCAGACGTCACGTCCCATGTTCTGTTCGGTACTGGGGGTCGGGTCCGGTCCAGCTCCATCTGGCAGGAAGTATCCGATCTGGCTACGCTCGGGTGGTGGGATCAAGGTCATGGAACGGCCCCTTGGACCACGACGGAGCAACCGCGACCGGGATGCGTTCGACAGGACGGGTTCGAGGGTTGGGAAGAGGACATGATGAAGAGGACATGGAGGACCTGGAGATCAGAAGATGTTTTGTTGAAAGACTGAAAAAAGGTCGGAATCTGAGGAACAACAACATGGGGGACCTATGGTCGACTTTCAAAGTGTGTGTGTGTGTGTGTGTGTGTTTTTCTCCGAGGTGTTTGGGGTTGTTTTGACATTGGAGTGAAGAGTGAATAGTGCAGTTACTTGATTCGTGATCCCAGTTCTGGAGGTCCCTTCTTCACCTTCGCCACGCAACATCCACGCACGCTGCGGCGCTTACGGACCGAGGTACCGCTTTCTTTTTGCTCGCTTCCGCCCAGAGCGCTACTACTTCGGGCTGCTTGGAAGCGTCCGCTCTGAAGCTTCGTGCAGGTCTGTGCGGTCTGTGCACAGACTTGAGATGGGATGATGAGAGTACCAGGTTGCAGAATTATCCCAGACCAGCACCTTCATTCCGGGGTCACATGGCGGGTTCGATCGTATACAAAGGGATCGATTATCCTATACCAGCAGTCACGTTCGACAGGGGTGCTCTCCATGGAGGTAGTCGGGGTGCCCTGGTCACATCCACTCACTGGATGGGACGAGCCACACCACCCCGAGCTCTGTGACTCCTGGTATATAGTTTCAGGGTTTAGGCACCTCCTGACCTCGGATGGTCGGCCGCCGCATCTGAGCAACGGTTGTAGTACCCTAAACCCGCTGAAGATGGCTTTTGGAGGGTAGGGACGGGAGGGATGCCAGTGATCCACTCCCCAAAAGGGATCCAGTCGTACTGAACCTCATGTTACGAAAGCCAGCCTTCGTAGAAGGCGCTAGCGGAGTTGTGTCTGGCGAACGAAGTGAGTAGTTAGGGGGTCTGGGGGGGTGGCCCGAGAAAGGTATACGTCAACTCGGCACATGCTGGGGGAGGAGGGTGCTTCGAGGGAAGGTTTTTTGAGGTTGTGTTGGAGGTGATTTTTGAGGGGTGGTGATGCAAGAAATGCCAAATGCATCATTTGCATCATCTGAATGGAAAGGTGTAGTTGGCACCTTGCAAGGTATAGAGACCTAGGGTAGCCATAGTGCAGCTACCAGGTATAGTACTTCAAGTTGCCTTTCCGTCAACCGCTTGAGAACCTCTACACACGCACAGCAATCCACAGCTTTGAAGTCTCATTCGTGCTTTGAACTTGTATAGGTGTGTAAGAGCTATAGCAACATAGTATTTATACGGACCCAGGGTAGCTACAAGTAGCTACAGTTCTGTTCCCGGGTATGGCGCGCATGAGGCTTCAAAGCTGTGGTTTTCAAGCTAAATT